TCCATAAACCGTGTATACGTCACTTTCAGATAGCCCCAATAGTTTCTGACAAATTAATTATTCATTTTTTTTTAATGAAAAAAAAAATAAAAAATCTAATTTTAACAGGAGAAAAATTAAAAAAAATAACAAGTTCTGTGTAAAATTTTTGCATTTCTACTAAAGCCTTTTCTGTAACAAAATGAGCAGGAAATAAGGTTACTCATAAGCCAAGTACACTTAAGTAGGACGCTTTTCTGCTCATATTTCATACGAAAAATCGTTGCGCATTTTCATTTGACCACTCATTACTTCTTTATTTATCCATCGGTTTATTTCATTAGTAACTTGAGTTTTTGTAACAGAACAGGCTTTAGCACACACACAGAACCTGCTATTTTTTATTATTTTTTCTCTGTTAAAGTTTAATTTTTATTTTCATCAAAAAAAAAAAACAGAAATCCTGCAATGATTAATTAATATGTCAGAAACTATCAGACTTATTGAAAAGTGATGTATGTTAAGTTGGTTCGTAAGATATACGTGATTAAGTGGAACCACGTTTTGTTTTAAGCTGAATAACGGTAAATTGAAAATATCTCGAAAACTTATCCCAAATAATAAAAAATTAACTCGGTTTTCGGAATCAGCGAGCAATTCTATATACATAGGAATTGGATAGTGGCATCCATTGAACATTATTGCTTTAAACCTGTGTAATTAATCATGAAGCTATCGAAGTCCAAGGTATCGTTATTTTTAACAGTGGGGTGTCTTAATCCTCGCATTTTCCCGCATAATTCATTTTCTCAATAAATACTCAATCAGGTTGAGATTCCACGAAATTTGGGGAATTCCCCACAAATTGGAAACGCTGGGTAAAATATAAAAAACAGTTAAAATAATTGAATTAAAAAAAAATCGGTGCGAGTTCTTTTCGTGTTAAATTTGTTTGCTTCCAGAAGTATGGATCTATCCTTTGCAAGGCAAATAATCAGCCTTTGTGCTCCTGAGTAAAGTGAACATTCCAAAGGCTGGTATTCAATCGCTTCTTTTTCGCCTGCAAATACACATTGAAAATTTGAAATTCTTGTAAAAAAAATAAACCACATTAGACAATTTAAAGACCAAGCAATTTAAAAGAAAATAACCAAATCAGTTGTTCGACTGCTACTACATATTTACCTGTTCAATATGCCTTGTTTAAAATTCTATAAATCGTTAGCAACAAAATAACTCATGGTGTAGTCATTTACATTTAATTAATGAAATTTTATTTGTTTAATTTGTTTGTAATACACAAATGCTTGAATTAATTAATACATGTATTTATGTACGTATAGATACATTAAATTTTCTAAATAAATTTGAAGAAATCAATTGGTTCACATTTTCATTTGGTTACAATTTTGCGATTACATTCTCTTAAAAACTAGTGGTAAATTGTTAGTGTTTTAATACATTCATTGCACTGTTTATAAAGTTTATGCATATAGTATATGGTTGTATGTATGTTGATGCAATATTTAGATTTTTAGTTGTTTCGTTTTACAATAGTTGCAGCAGTGTGCGGTGTATAGTTATTGGTATGCATAATATTTATATAACAGTTATGATTGTATGTGTGTATACGTAAGTATGTAAATTAGGCTTAGCAAATATCAATCCACATGCTTAACTACTCACAGTCATGCAATCTTGCAACTTTGCATATCTAAAAAAAATCAATCTTAAGATAGTACAAATGCGCCTTTCTTCCTTTTTATTGTTGAAAGTATGGGACGCTGTATAGAAAATTCGCTTTTTGTAATTTACAATAAAATTAAGGGTTAGTATTTTCGTTATACGTAAGTAAAAATTTTAAACCAAAAATATGAAAAAAAGATATTTGGTTGCGAGATGTGGTTAGCTAAAGTAATGTTAAATGTTTTTAATTAAATCTTGATAAGTTTTTTTTTTTAAGTCAACGCTTTGAAATATATGTTAGTTTATAATACAAAATCAAAGTGGAAGGCCAAAGGAGGGAATATGAAAGAAACAAAGCTGTAATAAAAGTATGAACAAAAATATTTTACTATATGCAAAGCAAGTGAAGTAAAGAAAGCAAAGTGTATGTACATATCTATATAGAGTTAGGACAAATTTAATACATTCAAAAAACAAAAAATATTTAGAATTCAAAACCTTTAAAAAGCATTTCAATAATAGGCTAAAGTTAAGGCATTCGTGATCGGGTGTTTAACACTCGTAATCGATTGCCGTAATCTCGAAATGAAATTTCGAATCGGGTTGCATTCGGTCATGGACCCTGCTTTTGCATGAATCACTACTGAAAGAAGTGTGATGACGAAATGTAGTGATTTCCGAAAGAACTATCATTCTACAATTTTTCCAAATTATTGTTGCTTTTCCACAATAAGCTTTTCATTAAAATAGGGCCTCAACATCAGTAAAAAGAGTATTTTTAAAAGATAAAATATTAGCGTGGCAATAAGGTCATATCCATAAAAAGTTGAATAACTTATAAATTCGTTTTTCCAGCAAGAACTTTCGAAAAGTTACATATCGCTAGTTTGGATTGAAAAATTTTGCAGTAAAGGAAAAAAACTTTACCAAATCATTTTCTTCAAGTATTTGGAAAAACTTTGAATACAACACAAACACTCATACGAATTTATGATGTTCTTACTTATGTTGGACCACCCTAAATTACATACAAAAAATATTTTCCACATAATCTCTTAAATCCACTTAGCCTTTTCTACCAATCATGCCTTGACCCGCCGAGTTTGTAAACGATATTCACATAAAAGTATAGAACGGACGAACTTTGGTTCAGTTCGGCTTGGATTTAACTGCGCCAAAAAAAAAAAAATATCTGAAGCTTGTCCATACACTTTTCCATTTCTCACAAAAAAAAAAATACATAGGCTTTTACCCTGGTATTCAGTAAGCAGTCTTTAGTTACTAATAGTGACTTTTCGTGGTGAACATCGACTTTGAGACTACTGGGTATTCAGTGACCTGTTTCACGTCTCTAGTCTCAAAAAACGTCTCTAATTTGTCAGTTGGCTATAACCAGGTCACAAAACAGAAAAATATGGAAGAAAGATAATTGCTTTACTTTAAAAAACTCAAAATGGAGCGAGGAAATATTTGTTTAACAATAATTTCATTAGAAAATTGACCTAAATAAATTGATATCATTAAAATTCATCAAAAAAATGTTCCTTTTTAAACCACTAAAATCTGACGATTATGTAAAATTCCACTGTCCGAGTACTCGAACTCGGATCTCTTGAATGGCACTCCAGAGCTTTGCTCACTCGGCAATTGCGACTGTTGGAGCAAATCGTGCAAAATGGCGCACATATGTACCTGCTATCAGTTGACTTTCTCTGTAGGTTTTCACCACACATTTTTGTGACTTTTCCTTACTGAATACCCAAACCATCTCGAGTCACAAAAAGAGCCACTAATTGATAATCTCAAATTTAGTGACTTGAGATGATTAATATATGCTTAGATTTTAGCGCTTAGAACGGGCGAGTCATATACCTATTTACTTAAGAAAAATCTAAGTTTTCGCAAACAATTGAAAATGTTTGGTTAAATTTTTGGCGAGCCACGAAAACAACCTAATGCTTATACACTTTGCTCAAGGAAATTATGCTTTCAACAATTTAGGGAGATAATTTAAGGGCACATTTAAGATTATTTGCAGAAAAGCTGCTTTATAAGCTTTATTGTAACAGGAAACAGGCAAATTCAAATATCTTTTTCTACTTCCCTTTTTCTTAAATAATCTGTAAATTTATTTTCTTTTCAAATTAATTGTTTTTTTATGTCAATAGTCCCTAAATACTCTACAGATTCCCTATCCAATCTAACATTCAATGCTAAAGCTTTTACTAAAAGCACTTTGATTGCTACTAACACATTCATATTTTCTAATAACTACAAAGTAACGTGATCGGACAACGTAATTGGGCGCATACAAGGTTTCGGTAGAGAAATCAAAACCGTGTTCCAATAAATGTGGATCTCGCAAGCTTCATTATTTAACCCTTGTGCAACCGAGAAGAAAATTTGTTTTAAAATTTCCGAATTAAATTTCTACTTGAAAATTAAAAAATGAAACAAAATAACCTTTTTAAGCCTTTCTACAGGTTTATACGTCGCTCAGAGACAGCTTCTATTTTTAGAATTTATTCTAGAATTTTTTTAGTTCTGGAATTTTTTGTATGGAAGCGCACAGAGTACAAGATCACTCTGATCGTCACTACTTAAAAGCAGTTGCTAGCATGATAAAAACATAGCAAGGTAGAACCGTTCTCTCAATGATTGTTTTTTGAAGTTTGCCAACATTTTAGTTGCGATCCCGTACGAGTCCGGACTAGTCAGAAATAGTCAGAATCAGTCAGATTTTACTGGAAATCGATCCCGTACTCGGTTCTCTGACTATTGAGAGGACAAAAAAGAGAGTAAATACGGTTTTCTCTCTGTCAGAAGTTACCATTTTTAGTCCGAGAATTTTTTGCTGGTAAATTCTGGTAAATGTGTCAAACGATCAGCTGTAGTGTGTTTGGCAACAAAATTGCAAACAAAAGAAAAGTGCACTCTGCTAATTCATGTTGAAAAGTATTTAATTACTTGTTTAAATGGATTCTAATGAATTTGAAAGTGTTTTTGGTTATTTACATGTGTGAGCTGAGTGCGTTTACATACAAAGTAAGCAAAAATTTACAACCAAAATTTAGAGGTTATGTTGAAGTTGACAGAAGTTACCATTTTTTACTAGAAAGCGATCCCGTACTTTTCAATGTTACTCTCTCGCTCTGAGTGAATTTTTATTTTTTGACAGTTTTACTAGTCCGAGTCCGAGGAATACGGGATTGCACCTTTTAAAATTATATAAAAGTGAATATAAAAAATTTAAATTGTTCGAAATTTTTGTTGCTTGGGATTGAAAATGAAAATGTGTGTGTGAGTTTGTGAGTAAATTTAAAAATTAAATTGTTTGGAAACGTCAAGAATTTTAAAAGTGACTCTCAGCGGTTCTACCTTACTATATTTTTATCATGGTTGCTAGTGAATAGAGACTTTTTAATCTTTCTAAAAATTATATGCCAGTGTTGGCCACAGGATAAACTTTATTTTATATCGGGGTATATTAATTGTATAAAGAGCTTTTAAATGCTTGGTACGCTTGCGTATGGTGTGGTCAAATGTGTTTTATATTACTATAAAACTAACATAATAATATAATAATATCACTATTTATATAGAGCAAGCACGACCGGATCATACACATATCGCGGAAGAAGGTTTGTAAAGCTTTCTATAAAATTTTTTAGGGACACAAAGAATGAAATCCCGCTCTTTGCGCCATTAATACACATCGGTGATGGGCAGAGCGAGCTTTTACTATGCACGTGCCTGTACAAAATGTATAGAAAGCTTTGCCCGCGGGCAGGGAGTTGCCCATCGCTTATATATGTACATGGACGTAATGCGTCTGTCGCACACAGCGTAAAAGCTCTTGCTCTGGTCAATACCCTGTTAAGAGAGCCAAAAATTCTAGATACATATATGTATTTCAAAGTCCCTGTAAAAAGACGATACATTTCCCATTGGCTCTCCGCTATCCTTTAACGATTTCGATTTCCCTATCAAAGCGCCTACGTGTGATCTAATACCGAAACGATGTATGCAAGCCTTACATCTACCACACTGAACCGCTCCATAAATGTTCTATTTTAGTTTTGTCCTGATATAGTAAGCATTTGCGACTATACAATTAATAAGTCTCCATTCTACATACACTAGCCATTTAAATTTTTGGCCGCTATTTGCGCTCACTCATTCACACATCACCTCCAACTAATTAGTAAAGTTTCCATATTTCCTTGGCATTGTCGAATATTTTTTATATAAGATTTTTTGTTAGTAGATAACATTTACAACTTTACGGCATAATTTTCATTAAAGAAATATTAATCAAAAGTTTTTAGCGCTGCCAAAGCGCAAGCGTTTTTAACCGCAACCCATGCGCATGCGCGCCTTTTACTTATAGCGTTTTATTTTCTACAGAAAGCGGGCAATTAGAAGGTAACATTTTTTCGGTAGAAAAGAAAACGCCATTAGCCATTGCCCGCATTGTCTTACACTTCTCGGCTCGTTCGTTCATCGTTCGTTTGTCACGTTAAGTTCTGCTGCAACGTTTGCTCCCTCCCCTTACATCAACTCATGCGCCGCGGCCCACTCGCCTTCTTTCAGTCATTTACTTCAACGCCTCTTTGGCGCGCTGCTCCCACTCGGCGCGACGCTGATGTATACCCTTAAATTCGCTAACAGTTGCCGAGCGCTCGATTGTCTTGCTGTTGGTGTTGCTGCTGCCGCTTGAGGAGCTGTTGTTGCTGCTGTTACTGCTGCTGCTCTCGCTCACCTTTACATTCAATGATTGGCGCTCGTTCGACTTGCCATTTTGTTGGTGGTAATGGCTGTGTATGGGGTGATGATTGTTATTGTTTAGATTGTTGCTGTTGTTATTATTATTGTTGTTTAGCGCTTCACACGCCGTTGTTGGATAGATTTTGCTAACGCTGTTGTTGCGCTCGATGGGTATAGTTCGGAAGCCGGCAACTTTGATGGGCGGCAGGAAACTACGATTGCCGCTGATGCCATTGCTGGTGGGGTTGCTGATGGTGTTCACATTGGTGTTCGCGGTGGCGGTATTGTTAACAGTATGTCCGCCGGTGGTTTGATTACTATTTGCGGCAGTGTGATTGTTGTTGTTGTTATTGTTGTTGCTGCTGTTATTCAAACTCAGCCCATTCGAAATAGCCGCGCCGCTGTTGCCAACTACAGATTTGGTGCGGAAGTCAGCCAGCGAATTGCGATTGTTGATGCCGTTTGTCAACTTGCCACACACGTGCGTTTGTGACTCTATCGATGCCTCCAGTTTCGGCAACTTATCGAGTTTCTCTTCACTTGCCGATTGATTCTCCTTGTCGCTGTCGACGTTCTGCTGTGTGGGCACAAACTTTTTGCCGCCACTGATGCTACCGCCGTTACTAGCGTGTATTTTGTCTGCCAGAACATTGATGTCCTCGTCCTTAATTTTCAATGAGCGACGTGCGAAAACTTTCATAAGTTCAGGTGTGGGATCGTCCTTGTTGCCACTGGTGGTCGCCGCGCTAGAATGTGTTGTGGCGCAGAAAGACTTCTTGCGCATCATTACGACGCTTTCAGTCGCCGCCTTTTCGCTAGTCTCCAGTTTCTCCTCTGACTTGGCGAACGATTTGCGATAAACTTCCTCTGTGATGGACTTCTTGCGCTCATTGCGTAGCTCCTCTATGCGCTTATCTGTCTTCAATTTCTCTTCGCTCATGAATAAGCGCTTCCGTTCTTGCAGCGACAACTTGTTGCTGTTGAGTACTGTCACGCTTACTGGCGTGTCTGGCGCTTTAGTGCGCAGCAAAACGGCGTCGTCCGCGTCTGTTGGTGTCGTTGGCGTGGTCGCTGAAACCGATGCCTGCTTCTTCACTGGACTTCTGGGTGGCAAGGCGTTCACCACCGCATGTGCTTTCGTTGGCGACTTGTCACTTTTGTTGTTGTTGTTGCTGTTACTACTATTCGGACTCATAATGAACACCGGTTTCTGTTTATCCACTTCTGTGGGCGAAGACTTTTCAATTATCTCAACGCTTTCATTGCTTAAGCGGCGCAAGCTGAGTTCATCTAGACTGGTGTTGCGCTCGTTAGCCTCTTTGGCCATCTGCTGTTGCTGTTGATTTTGCTGTGCTTGTTGGTGCTGTGGCGACAGCTGTTGTTGCTGCGGATGCGGTGGCGTGCGTACTTCGCGCACATTCTTAGCCAGCACTACATTAGAGCTCTTAGCGATACGCGCTGGGTCGACACGATTCAGTTGGATACGCATGAACTCAGGAACGCCATCGTCGTTGGGGGTGCTACTGCAAATAGTGGGGTCAGAAATCTGCAAAAAACGTAAATATTAGTTTTTGTCAAGGCAAGCATTTACCGCACAGCTAATGGGGATTCTTGATTGCAAAGAGTTTAGTTAAATTGATTATATGATTTTCTAAAACCCTGTGTTTAGCAGTTTGCCATATCGTCGCCTCAGAAAACGGATGACGAATGTGCAAAATCACGACTTGGGATTTTGATGCAGATTTACTAAGTTGGACACGCTCTTTCGATTTCTGCAATCCATTTTTTTTATATCTCCATTAGTTTTTGAGATATTTCGTGCGCATTTTGTCGTATGTTACATAATATTAATGATTGGGTATGCCTTTTGTTGTATGTGCTGAAAATGCGTCACATACGACAAATTCCCATACAAACGTACCTTTTTTTTAATCATAAAACGTTTGTCGTATGTGGCACATACGACAAATTCCCATACAAATGTAATCCTTTTTTAATCATAAAACATTTGTCGTATGTATCGCAAAACTTTGAACTTACGACAATTGGATGGTCCTCTACTATAACGATACAATTAAAATTGAAAATTAAACTAAGTAACTAATTTTAAAATTTTAAATTTTTAGATTTTAGCTTGCACTGAGTCTTTAATGAAATGAAAGAGATAAAAATGTACAAAAGACTGAATTTAAGTATTGTTTTTTGTTTTTATATAAAGAAAACGTATGTTCGTAACATATTTACAGCATAAGAGATGTACAGATTTTTTTTATTAAATACATGATTATGTTTTTGTTTTGTTTTTTCTAATAAGTAATCATTATTTAATAAATATGTCTGTTTTTTTCACCATCGTCGTTGAAATAGATACTTTACTATTGTCGTATGTTCTGTGGACAAAACAAAGTGGTGAGTAAACGCTACTTACGACAAATGTATACGGAATGAAAAGTAAATTTTCTCATTAACGTTAAGAGATATTAAATGTAAAAATATGGGAAATCAAAACTAATAACACCAACTACGTCTCCTTCAAAAGTTACAAAAATCTACCGTACAGTTTCGGATTAATTCGACCTTAAACTTCAAAGTCAATTTTCTCAAAACCGTGTTTTGTAACATTCGACATCCGTTTTCTGAGACGACGATATGGCAACAAGGAGCGGTCGGTGAAGATGATAAAGTGTGAAAAGAACAGCTATAAATCTTTACAAAGATACATAGACGAATCAGAAACCAATCAATTAGAGGTGTACTTCGTATCGCCAACTTCGTATTTTCAACCACAAAAACTCCAAATTCTTCAAAATAGAAATGGTACCAGTAATTGTGCAATACAGGCATCTATCAAATTCTTTCAGATCTTAGAGAACGCCTACTTTCCAACAGTCAAAGCGGAAGGTGTCGTTGTGCCACATGCTCACTAGGAAGAAGTAAATGTAGCGATATGGGGGTGAAGAATAACAAAGCTGATATACCTGACGGTTTGCCAGCTAAGCTATTCAAGTACGCCGATAAGCAGATGAAACAGTTTTTGCATCATTTATCACCGTTATGAACGGACAAACGCATCCATGACTTTTGGAGTTTAAGTGATTTTCACGTAAACCATAAGCAGGCCGTGCGTGCTATATACGCCAAATACAGCGGCATCATTCAACTGAGCATCGATGCGCGTATTTTTTGAAAGAATAAATCTCATCGCCAACTAAAATTAAATATGAGCTGTATCGCTCTCGCTTTAGACTTGATTAATTATGTCATATTGAATGAATTTACTACGCTAAGTTCTGGCAAACCCCGTGATGGGAGGATCGATCCTAAACGTTCATTCCAACATGCCACGATGTCTAAATTTAGTATCCAACCAAAAGCGAATTTGACGCCGGCTTGGAGATATTGGGGCTTATTCTTGTTTTCGTACGAATCGAAAATCATGAAATTTCCCTATCATTTTCTATACAAATTTTAAATTTTCGATTCGTACGAAAACTGGAATACGCCGCATTGAATCGGGTAGAAACCCTTCAAGCCATTCGTTACCAAACGAGGATTAAAACAAGACGACTTGGTACCGCCAAACTTCTTAAATCAATTCACGCAGATTCAGACTTTCAAAGACGAAAGTGTTCGTTAAGGAAGACCCTGAGAACGGCACCAACAAATTCGGAGTCAAACATACATTTCTCCCAGAAGTTCTCTGGCAGCATAGCCATCAGATTCGGATTTCCAACCATGTAGGTATTATCCCTATTAAGGATATGGACCAATATTCTGTAACAATAAAGATGGGTTCAGCCACGCTTAAGGGTAGCCTACTTAAATATTTGTCTTCGAAATCAGCATTGGAAGCTAGATTTTCTAAATGGGAATAAACGATTTACCTTGTTAGTTAGTATTTCGACGGCTGGGTGGAAGATCGACCTAACTGGGCAGTCGGTTTGAAACGCACTATCGCAGAATTTGTTTCAAAAACGCCCTATCTCAACTGGTAACATATTGAAAATTTGTTGCGCAGGACGCTTTTGAATCGGCAGCTAACTTGCGCGATCTTCAGCGAAATTCTGAGATGGAGCCTTCGTCAACGAAATTCTAGGATAGGAAGTTTTTCAATAAAATTCTGAAATAGGGCATTATTCAACCAAATTCTGGAATAGAGCCTCCGTGGAAAATTTTCTGAGATAGGGCGTCTTGAACTGGTTGCCGAGATAGGTGAATCTTCTATTAAGCCGTCGATATAAAAACATTTCTTCGTAAGATCCTGCTGTCTGCGCAAATTGCTGGGAACTAAACCTCATTATTGTTTATAAAATCCTATCGACAATAAAGAGAAAAAGGGGTTGGTCTAGCGCTGAATGGAAAGCAAGGCAAAGGACCCTCTGTTAAAGTTAAAATTTTGAATTAGTAAAAAATTTTGTCTACCAACAGTGACAGCAACAATTCTCGTAATATTAGCCTGGAGATCAAACGAAGAATAAGGCACTCGGCACATTACACGCCTAATCAAAGTAGAGTAATCGTTTCATCATACCAAAACGAATGCATGACTACTCGACTTCTGCACACTTGCACGCCCTGCATAAGTCACCAGCTAATAAACAATTTTTACACATAACAAATTTTTTGGCCGTTCTTTCGCAACACGCACTTCCGCAAATATTTCGGCTCCGAAATATTGCGTAAACGCTTGTGGTTTATTGCAATTTGCACGAATTTTAGCACGGAATCATTCATTTCCAATTATTTTCTATTGAACTGACAAATAAATTTTATTTGCAACACAAAAAAGTAAACAAATTGTTTCGTGCTAAAATTCGTGCAAATTGCAATAAACCACAAGCGATTTCAAAACTGCAAGCGCCTTACAATGTTGGGCGCTTCGATTCATGAAGCTTTTATGATAAGCCGCAAACATGATTTTGAATCGTAATCTACAGAGCTTCATTGAAATACATGGGTTCGGCATAAAAGCTTTATACTTTAGTATGCCGAAACGATTACACTACTATGATTAGGAGCTTAATGTGCGGAGTGCCTAAGACTTTCCAAAACGTTTCGCTTCGGTATTGGCAGCCACTTGAAAAGCAGAGCACTTTCTTGACAAACAAAAATTAGGGTCTACAAGTGTCCCTCCAAACGTACGGATGGAGATGCTCCGGTGAAAATATCTTTCGACTCGGCACCCAAGAGTGGACAACGAAAGCAATAACTCCATTGACCGCAATGGAAGCGCCAAGTGCTAAAGGACGTGTTATTACTCGGGATGAACAACTGGGAAAATTTTGAAAAGGAGAGGTTTGTTGGTCTCGAAAAAGTGTTTCAGTGCCAAATACTTTAAGAGAAGCAGTTCCCAATAAAATAAAGCAATGCTTTAGATCCCTTATACCGCGTGGGAGACTGCATGGTTATATCTGTTCCAGAAATATATTTAGTACCTCATTTGAACTTCAACCGATTGCTAAACTGTATTTTCTTAAAAGTTCGAAAACTAGACAAGAAAAAACTTCGGACAAGAAAACTAAGCAAACATTACACAACCTAAATTACGAGTGAATTTGTTATGCATAAAAACTCACCTTAACCACAGCAGTACGCTCTACGATTCGCTCTTCACTAGCATTCTGGCTATTCGGCGGGTTATCTAGCAAACTAGAGCTACGGCGCGTTGTCTTGGAGCTATGCACGTTGCTTGTCTGCAATACAGGTGTCGGCGTCGATTTGCGCTCCACAGCCCTAACATCTGGTTCAAGCATATTCATGGAATTTCGAACGTTATCCACTGTCACTTGTGTTTGTAGCTTTGGTTTCTCACGCAACGGCACTGCAGCTGTAGTAGGCGTCACCTTCAAGTCGTCGGTTGAAGAGGAAGTGTTAATGCTGGTATTTAAATCCCGCAAATGCAACACCTTGGGACGTGAGTGCTGTTGCTCCTGCTTCGGTACGTCCGCTGACAGGGGTACCACATTAACCAATGAAATCGACGACGCTTTCTTTGTGTCGCTACTTTGCTCTACACACAGTTTACTGCTGTTAGCGCACACATTAATCACATCCGGTTTTCCCTCCAAGCTAGTGGTGCTTGTGGGTTTCCGCAACACATTTATAAATGGCGACTTCGCAAGCAAATCATTGTTGAACTCAAGCTCATCGAGCGCCTTTACGCTGGGTTTGGATGGCGAAAGCGTTACCACTTTGGTAGGTGAGGTCTTGATCACGACATTCTTCGAAAAGTTGTAGCTGCTTTTAGTCAAGTTACCTGTGGAGTCAGTGCGTGATACATCTTGCTCATTAACATCAAAGCCCAAAGAAGTGCTGCGATCTGGTGTGGGCGCTGCTGTACCATTGATGTTGAGTGCAAAATCATTGTAGCACGGCACTCGCAAGCTCAGCGTCAAATCGGGCAAACTGGGCATGTTGTTGTGCACAGGCGTAGCAGTGCAGAAAGAGTCCTCGTGGTATGCTCGGAAACTGCGAGATTTCTCCACCACCTTTCGTTGCTTTTGCTCCTGACTTTTGTAGGTAGGCACGTCGGAGCCGGCGACGTCCAAGGAGTTTGTGGAGTTCGAGTTGCTGTTGCCGCTGCTAGTGAAACGTCCAACTGAGTCATTGGAGCGGGAAATTTTCTGCTGAAACGCACTGAGACCAACAATTTTCGGCTTCTTCTCGAAATGATGTTCTGACTTGTGTAGGCTGCTCATCGAGGTGACACTGGACGCCTGCGAAGCGGTAATTTCACGTATTATCGACGTGGATTGGAATATCTCTTGCTGTGAGCACTTGGAGAGTATGCTGCTCGTGCTGCTGGTATACGATTCTGTAGCAGTTGTTGCGGATGCGGTGCTTTGACTGATTGTCTTGCGATCCAATGAGCCAATGTCCTGCGGCATGTAACGTTGGCGAGCAGCCGCGCCTGATTTTGGTTTATGTGGGGAGGTTGCTGCCTCCTTAATGTTGCTGTTGCTGCTGCTATGTGTCGTCAAGTTGTGGGCATTTAACATGGCATTCAAACCCGTGCTGCCGACAGTTATCATTTCTCGTTTGATATCCTTGCGGGTCTCTTCGATATTTTGTTCATAACACAGAGCGCTACGCGATTTATCCAGCTTGGCCATACTAGCGTCAGGTGTTGGGTTCACATCCAGACACGAAGTTGAGACTTGCATCTTAGATTTCGAGTCGTGTTCGCTTTGAATTGTGTCCGCTTTACTTTCAATAGAAACTGGGTCCAAATTAACATTGTTATTAGCGTTGCTAGCGGGATTAGACCGCGAGCCCGAGCGTTTTGAATTGCGTTGGATGAGACGCCGCAGAAATCCACTTTCTGTTGTCTCCATGTTCGCATCAGTTACATCCTTCTCTTTTTCCTTATCTTTCGCTTTCTTGAGCTCTTGTTCACTGGGTGTTGGGTCTGTGGAAGACTCTTGTGGCGGCTCAAATAGTGCTGTCGCTTTGGTCGTAAGTGTCCGCAAACCAAATAGATTGGTGGCAGCCGTGATCGAGTTGCTGCTGGTAGAGGTCGAAGTTGTGATGATGGTCTTACTGGCCTCGTTACTTTTTTCAAGTTTTTCGATTTTGGAGCGTTTGACGTTTATTAGTTGTTCGTTAGACGATACTGAAGACTTAGATTTTGATTTAAGTGGCGATGTCACTTTCTTCGAATCTGTTGGATGCTTTTCTAAAATTTTGGCATTTACGCAAGGCGGCAGAGAGCGTGTTTTAGCTTTTACGTCATGTTCTATTCGAAAATTAAATATAATAAATAATTATTTGTATTTTAGATAAATAATTGTTGGTTGTACCTATTATATTCAGTAACGTATTGCCAGCCGACCGCAAGCTATCCTCATTGGCCTCCGGTATTGAAGTCTGTACAAATTTGAATTTTGAAACATTAATGGAGCACAAGGAATACATAGTACTAAACCAAGTCTAATGATCGTGGTCTTACCTCCAGCGTGCGCCGATGCTGTCGGCTAGGACCCTTCTTTTTGGCTGGCCGCAAGGCCATTTTATGTTTGGCAGCCGAGTGTGAAAGTCGTTGACATTTCGCACCCAGCAAATCCGGTTCATCGCGGTTGGAATCGCTACCCAAACTGCCGCTCGACGAATGCCTATATATCTCCGAGGATACGGATGTGGACGATGCCGTCGAAGCGCGTGTTATACTACGTCCTCCCAATGATGACGTCATCGAGCGTTCCTGTACAATCTCTTTGGTGCTAATCGTAGAATTATTAGCTGTGGATGTTGCTAATATCTCTTCGCCATCGCCACTATTCATGCTCAGCAGGCTCAATGAGGAGACCTCACTCTGATTGCCTGTGGCAGAGGATGTTGTGACTACATTGTTGTAGTTGCTGCTGCTATAATGACCCTTGCTGCTTGTGGCCTGGTGACTGCGATGTGTGCGATCGGTACGCCTTTGCGGCGAAGCTGGACTGCGCGGCAGTCCGAGGTCCTCTTCGGAAGCATCTGGGCGATTGCGGTTACGTTTGCGTAGCACATCGGAAAGCTCAGCCTGAAAGTAGTAAAATGAAAAATTCCGATTAATATTGACATTGTATAGGTAAAAAAAGGTAAACAAATAGTTGTAGGGATATTTCGATTAGTGTTTCGAATTCGGCATACCCAAGTTTTCCAGCGAAAGACGAGGCGAGCCCGCAGACAACTGCGGGTTGAGCGATTTTCTCCACCGTTCAGCGGCTTGATTTTCATTTTAAACGGATTTTGTTTAAAGTCAATCATTTTCATTTTGTACTTCGTCAAATTTCCTATTTGCAAGTCTATTATTTCAAGAAATCATAAGTATAAGTCTTGCACTGCTCAATTTCTTATGGGAATCGTTTGCGCAAGTCAGGAAAATAAAAACCAAAAGGAATTAGCAATTTCCGGATGAGTTTCCGAAGTTACTGAACCTCTACACGGGTTCTTTATTTTAAAGAAAGATAGGCCCTCTTGGTATCGATACTTTTGAACCAAGTGCTGAGTAGGCATCGAAAAAAAATACTCATATCGAAATACGATACCAAGGCAAATTTTCTTTCGGACTTTTTCCTCTACTAACATAAATCACCCAGTGCCTTATGGGTCTATAAACGCCAGCGACCTTCAAATATTGAAGATTTTAATTTTTTTACTTGCAACCAGTATGAAATGAACTTTTTTAACAGATATTTTGCCTGTTCTTGCTTCAGCGAATCCATTTCCATGGTCGCAAAAATCAAAAAATCCATATAAAAAACAATACAAATCCCAAGATTTTTCGTTTGAAGGTCAGTCTTGAGGTCAAGGAATTTTTTCATTTAATCAAACCTTTAAAATTACTTTCAAGAGTAAAATTTTAGATTTTTTTTTACCTAAAAACATCTTGTTATAAACTTTTTAGAAACAATTTAAAATTAAGTGATTTTTCGATTCTCGTGACATAATAAATGGATTCCGTGGTGTACGAACAGCAAAAATATGGGTTTAAAACTTTTTAAAACTTCATTGCATACTGGTTTCAGGCCAAAAAACGAAACAATTTAAACTACATAGCTATTTTTGAAAGAACAAGGTAATTACTTTGACACACGAGACTATTTTTGCTTAATTCTCTATCTCAAAAGCTTTAAAACAGTTATTTCGCTATCTCTTCTCGATTGATTTTGTCCTTTTTTCAAAAATAGAACACTGTGCACAGTGGTTCGGATAGCAGATCTAGGTGGACGAAAGTCAAAATTGTTTTGTTTTTAAAATACTTAATGGTACTTGGAATACATTCCTGACAATACATTCAAATAGAAATTGCAATTATTAAAGCATTAACATATGAAAAGAAACAAAAAAAGGTAAGTCAACGCCGCCTATTTGAAAACTCTATTTTAAAAGCTGAAATTTTAACTTAAAAGATTGCTAGTTGCACTCACAGATAATTGCATAATTGCAAATTGACTTTATAAACAAAAAATTACACTTATTCCGCTATAGATTCAGAGGTCATAACGCAATTTATGTCCACATTGGTATAAGCAAATTTATTCTGAAAAATCGTCGTTTTGATTAATTAAAAAAATAAATTAAAGAGTAGGAAAAGTAAAGTCCGCCGAAGGCCGTTATAAAACCACTTGCATATTATTCTTTACACCTTCGCAAATGCAGAGGGTAAGTTCGATAACCAAGTCTAACCAATTGGCTTAGATATTTACATTTTAGTGACAGTATGTCAAATCTCAAAATTCAATAGTAATTATTAACAGGAATGTTTTTGAATATAAATATAAGATCAGTGGCGGATCCACGGGTAAGAGGGGGAGGGGGGGGGGGGG